TTTGTGGATAATGTATTTGGTCGTTTTGATCAGCGAGTTGAAAATTGTAAGGAAGACAAAAGGTTACCCATGTTTGTGCGATTTTTGAGTGGGAAGGGATCACACGATCATGAAGAATGCATGCACGTGGACGGATTGTGTGTTCAGGTGATCATATGTTTCATGTCACAAAAAATGACAAATACCATTCCCATGGTGAGGGGTGGCCGGAGAGGGAGAGAAAAAGGGAGAAGGGAGAGCAGAGCGAAGGAAACGGAGAAGAAGAAAGAGAAGGAACGGAGGAGGAGAGGGGGAAAAAAAAAAAGGAAAGAGAGGAAGCAAGGGCGGAGATTACGACTATTATTCCCTCCAGCCACATGGGAACAGAAACATGAAGGGGTTGCATGCAGTAAATCAGCAGCAGCCTGATCAGAGTCGCCAGGAAGACAAAGAGATTAGCAGCAAGGGTTTTGATGTGTCGGTTGGGGTGGATATCACGACCGGTATGATTCCACTTTTGAACACAGTGTCCTGGCTGTAGTGGTTAAGAGACTTGGCGCTTGAGGCCGAAGTCGCCGGTTCGAATCTGTGCTTGCATGGAGGAGGACTTAGACCCAGACGTACGGAATCCATACTACGAAACCCGAGCACCGGTTCCTCACATTGCTTGGTTTCACACAGCCTGCAAGGAGTGCTGACCTTTGCTGGCAGTGCACCAAGCAAATGTATAAAAGAAATGTCAGCACTCCTTGCGGAAAACAGTTTTCCCAGCTGCAAAAAGAAACCACAAAGACAGAAATACCCATAAAAAAGACACAGAAGAAGAAGAAGAAGGAACAGAAACAGAAAGAGAGGGATACCCCAAAAAAAAACAAAGACAAAGAGAGGAATACCAAGGCTCTTGCAAGTGGAGTCCCGTGGAGTGAGTAGGAGTGTGCGCTCATATCACCATTCCTACTCACCTCAGCGAGAAAAAAAGAAGAAGAAAAAAAAAAAGGCCTGTTTCAACTTTCAAAAAAAGGCTATGCTCATCAACCATGCAGTAAGCAAAAAATTGGTACTCAGTCAGCAAAATGGTTATGGGAGAGGATTTTTGACGAGAGTGGGTAAGGATAGGTAGTAGGTACCTCTGATACCGATGGTCTGACAACCGCCCTGATAACAGAACTAAGAGATCCATAAGTTGTACAACTTGGCTTATTTTCGGAATATAATATTTTATTATTTTCAAGCGTCTTGTCGATTCTTTCGATGCGCTTGTGTTTGTGCCCATCGACTCTTGCCTCTGCTGCACATGGGTGTTGTATACAAATTCGTTGTGAACGAATGTGCATTGTGGTCGTGATGGTCACGTCGAATGCGCTTTCGAAGCATCTCAATATTGACGATCTTCTTACGTTGGTGTGTATTTAGTACTTCGTCGTCCTGGCGTAACTATGGTTGCGCTGGTAAACAATCGGTGTGTACACTGTGTACCTAAGTATTGTGTATTAAGTACAGTGTGTACTAAGCACTTCGTCGTCCTGTTGAGTACTTACTACTTAGTATATTGTGTATTAAGGATAGTGTGTACTGTATTGGGTATTAAGTACTATTAAGTACTATTAACTTAAGTACAGTGTGTACTAAGTATTTCGATGCCAGGCTCAAGGCCTCGATGATCCCTAATGGGCCCTGTTTTCAGCAATAGAGGCCGCCCTAAGTGAAGGCAGGCCTGACCAAGGACAAGAGGCCTCTTTTTTTTTTTTTTTAAGCCGTGGTATGACCGTACCATGGCTTCCGAGTTCGGATGGGTTCGGGCGCATTAAAAATTTGGATTATTTCTCGATTCATGCGTGTTATCATCCTTGCGCAGGCAGGGGTGATGCTAATCTTCATTCTCTGTATCGTTCCAATTTTAACGAATGTCCCGAAGGACGAGAGGCCTATTTCGGGCTTTCCACGCAACTGGGGAATTCAGGCAGTTGTGCAGCGCCAGTTGGTTGAGAGAACCCAGGCCCTGCCTGCCTTCTTCAAATGTATCTGAGGCAGGCCCTGGGCTAGATACGGGGCATGGAACTGCGCACAGACCGCTGGCAGCTGGACACGGGTAACCACCCCAGGCCCTGTGTCTGATTCCCGGACAGCGGACCGGGGCTCAGCCACTTGGGGCCTACCGGAAGATTCTGGGCAGGGCCCCAGCGCAGCCAGGCAGCACGCAGCAGGCAGGGCAATTCCCCATATAGGAAAGTGCCTGCCCCCGCATTCGGCATTCGGGCACTTGCTACATGCTCCGCAAGCGCTGCTGCGCTACTGGCAGGCAAGCGCCCACGCGCTCACGGGCGAGCAAGGTACACGCAGGCAGCCCTAGCCGAGCTGGCCTGCGAGGTGCTGGATGGGGCGCATGGTGGTCCTTGGGTGCACGTGGCATCTGTGTGGGGGATCGAGGTTGTGAGTGATGCGCGAGACGTACCTGGTGCTTGAGGCGAACGGCATTGGCCGAGATCTCCTCGTACTTCGGGGAGCTGTTGACGTCACCAGCGGCATTGTAGATAGGCTAGATAGGATCTGCCATTCGTAGTCTGGGCGCTGAGCGCCAGATAGGGAATCAACATTGGTTCATTGATGATGATGATGATGAGACTATTCCAACATTGTCACTTGTGAGCTTTTGCTGTGCACTTATTTGGTGGAACTCATGTTGCAATTCTGCTTTTGGTTCGAGGTCACGACGATCTGGTTTCATGTGTATGATGCTGCTTTGTTTCTGGAATTCGCTATCGCTCATTTTCCTTGCATCAACGTCCTGGCTTAACTATGGTTTTGTAATGATAAACAATCGGCTGTGTAGTAAGTGCTTAGTATGGTGTAATAAGCGAAGACATGGCATCAACGGGCGGAGCTCAGTTGTGTACGCCCTGAGCTAGCCCCGTGGGTGCCATGAACTATTGAAATACCAACCTGAGTTCGAATCCCCATGGAACGAGAGTGAATAGAATGAAATTCTTGTGAATTGTTATTGTGAATTACCTGCGGACAATAAGTTCAATGACATCTCAAGGTCATCACCCTTCTTTAAAAGTTAAAAAAAAAGAGAAAGAACTCCGGGCATGAGGATGAGGATGAGGATGAGGACGAGTACGAGGACGAGGACAGGTGCTGGAATGCGGACTCATACCCATCTTTAAAAGTTAAAAAAAAAAGAGAAACAACTCCGGGCATGAGGATGAGGATAAGGCCGAGGACGAGGACGAGGACAGGTGCTGGAATGCGGACTCATACCTGATATTAGCTGTGTTTGTGGCCACCAGCTGTCTTTGCTCATCAGACTGTGGCTGTGATGGGCTGCTGCTAGGGTCACGGGTGTTCCCGGTCTTGCTTCCATCCTTGGCGGAAATGATTTGAATAAATGGATCTACTTCGACGAAGGGAATGTCCAGCACCTCAAGGCCATCAGGGCCTTGTCTGTTTCCTTCTGAGATGAATCTGCCACATTTGGAATAACAGCGGAAGAAATTTCAGAAAATCATCCGAAGCGGCAAAGAACTGCTGAGATAAAGATGTAACATCTCTCAATGGACCTACCTTCTTCCCCTGAATACAACATACGGTCATTTTCGCTGCATCTGGACTGAAATGTGAGCCAAATACAGGCATAATGACCCTACGTTCTATTCGAGGGAAGACGGTAATTCAATGGATTTCTGAATTACCTGGGGTCTGTTAGTTCCACGATGATATCCCAAGGCCATTGCTATTTCGAAGAAGGGGAGGAAAAAAATAAAAAAAATAAATAAATAAAAAATCTAATAATCTATGAACTTGTCACCAAACATCGATGGAGATGAAACAACAATCCAAGTGTTGTATCTGTTGTGATCAGTTTAATATCAGGATAATTTGCAAAATACACCCATAAGTTGAGATATTTGCCAAAATGCCCCCGAAAGATGTGGGTAGAGTGGAATGCCCTTTTGGGCCGAATTCTTCGTGTTATGCCCCTGTCAGACAGGTGCGCAAATTTGCGATCTGGACGTTGCCGTTTGGGCATGGCCTTTTGCAACTGGGCCTTAGGAAAGTTGCTACGTTCTGGGTATTTTGCAAAGTTGGATGGTACCCGGCAGGGTTATATCACAAAGATGGGGGGTACAACCGACACGAGGGGTATTTCACAAATTTTTCTTTTTGTCAGAGGGGCATTCCGGTCTACCCACATCTTTCAGGGCCATTTTGGCACATATCTCAACTTCCGGGGATATTTTGCAAATTATCCCTTTAATATCTGATACTATCATACTAGGGGGGGGGAAAAAAAACAAAAAAAAAAACGAAAAACAGGACAAACAGGGCTGGGGGATGGAAGGACGGACGGGAGGATGGAAGGAAGCGGAGGAAGGGAAAGAAGAAAGAAAAGGATCTTCAGCCAGTCAGCCATACCTCTCAGGAAAAATGGGATTTGAACCCACGACTTCTGGAGTAACCCAGCGCTCTTTTTTTTTTTCTTTTTTTTTTTGGTGCTCTAACCCCATGGAAAGAACAAAGAAAATGAAGAGAGCAAAGAGATGTATTTTGACAGGACGAACTCGGCAGGCAAGAAGGAAGGAGGGATGGAGGGCGGGATCGACGAAGGAAGGAAGAAAGGAAGGAAGGAAGGAGGGAGTGAGGGAGCGAGGGAAGAACGAAGAAGGAAAGGAAAATCACAGTGCAAGTTCACGAGCATTGTTATACAAGGTAGAGGGAGGAAGAAAAAAAGAAAGAAAAAGTTAAATTGCATGGTACACAAGACCCCTCTCTCTCTCTCTCTCTCTCTCTCTCTCTCTCTCTCTCTCTCTCTCTCTCTCTCTCTCTCTC